CTGGTGGTAAGTCTGGCCTCCCCTTCCACTCCACCCTCCTCCCTGGCCTCCACGACCACCTCTCCCACCACGACCACTGCCCCGATCACCATGATGCCCACCATCTTGGTATCTATTGTCCTGCTGGTATCCACCACCCTGGTATCCACTTCCTGTGTATGAAGATGTTTGGAAGCCACCATAACCACCGCCTTGATAGCCACCACTGTGGCCACCATGACAGCCACCTGGCTGGAAGCCTGCATTGCAATAACCCTCGGCCACCACAATCGTAGCCACCACGTCTGCCTCTCCATCCTCCTTGTTCATGACCTCCTTGTCCTCCATATGAGGAATGTTCATAGCCACCTCTCCCTCCTCCTCGGCCTTCTGCTCGCTGCTGGGGCCCATCTTGCCTTTTCTGCCATGGCGGCCTCTCTGGGGGTGGAGGTTCGATGTCATTAGGTCTACCGCCTCTGTTAGGCACCCTGCCCAGCAACACCTTCTTGGCGGCCCAGGCTGTCTTCTCTTATAGAACCGCTGCTCATCCTCAAGCTCTCTTGTCCTGCAGCCAAGGCGTGAGCAACGGAAGTAGTGCTTTTGGGAGGTGAGACTGGCCGCCTCGACTGCAGGCCTTGGCCAACTCTTCTGTCTGACTCTTAGCTCTGTGAGACCAGCCAAAGGACTGTACGGTGACACCCAAACGTTTTATTAGCAGCTTTCTTCATATTCATTGGCTATGGCTTGGTTAATTGCTTCTATCTTTTCCCAGTGGGCCGGTCCCATTGACTTCTTCAGTAAAGGCTTTCCCACAGGATTGGGTGGAACTTTCGCTAATGTTTCCTTTAATTTTTTTCAATCCCGCTGAAGAATTGGAACAGAGTTATATTGGCTGGAGGTTTGGACATTCCTAGAGCAACACATATGCCTTTCGACTCTTGAAAGACCTCACTACCGCCTCCTTCTTGAGCTTTTTAAGGAGGAGCATTCACACAGAGCATTCTGGCAGCTTCTAGTTCTGAGATGAGGTATGTGAGCAAGAGGAGGCAGTTCTTCTGCACGAGCAGGCGCTTACTCGCATCCCCAGATGTCAGTGGGAGATAGGGACAGTTCATCTCCCCTAGCAGCCCACTCACCTCAAGCTGGAATTCTTCAGCTTCACTTGGACGGTCAGTTGCTTGCACATGTTCTTCTAGCTCACAGAGCACCCTTAATTCTGATACCAGCCAAGCACAGAGTTTGGTAAACTCCGGGGAACTGGCTCCAGCAGAGACCGCCTGAGACAGGGCGCCATCCTCCAACAATGGACCCTTATAACCTAGATCTTCCAACGACTCCGAGATGTCAGGCTCCGTGAGGTCACACTCCATGCTACTGTGGCATTCACATTTCTGAGTTGTCAGACTCCCCTCTTGGCCAGCAACGTGTACACTCCTGACTTACCTACTTCTGCAGTGGTGGGATAACCCCAGGGCTCCAGACAGCCGAGGGGAAAGCTCTTGTTCTGAGCCATCCTTCAGCCCTTGCAGGCTTCCAAAGTTAGGGTGTAATTGCATAATTAGCATAGTGAAGCCCTTCGCTGTGCTATTTGAATCTTTGTCCTGTCTCCCACTGACTCTACAATGCGCCATGAACAGGTGCGACTGCAGCGCCAAAACTCAGGGTGACCTTCCATCACCACCTAGGTAGTGGGGTGTACTCTGGCTGACCAGGAGCCTTCTGCTGTGGTCCAGGCCACCTTGGAAGGCAGCTCCATAGCCTGGCCCCACTGGCAAGTCCTGTCAGTACAGGAACCCATCCTCCAGTCTAGGGGTTCCTCTGAGAGCTGCTGGGCGTTGCTCCTTGGCCGTGCCTGGGGGCCAGCACCCCACCTGCACCAGCTACTTCCTGCCCAGGAGCCCAGGGAGGAAATCATCCCACGCCTGTCCTCCCAGGGCTGGAGTGGGTGTGACTGCAGATCAGCTTGTATTCCTGGGCCTTTGGGATAGTGGTGGAATATGGTACATTGTTAATTTTATCTTTCCTAATAAAACTGGAGGTGTGCACAAACCACACTGAAAACATAAACTTTTTATACTTAAGTATCTGGCCTATTTTTCAAGCAGAATGTATCCTTTCTACTTAAAAACGCTTCATTATGTGCAGTGGTTTTCCACAATGCTTTTGCAAAGTCAGTGCTCATGGGCCTGGATGTGCCAGCCCGGGAGCAGCAGTCAGTGTGGCTCCAGGGATGGGTCCCTGGCAGCCTGGGTAGACCAGCCCCCAGATCACATCCTTCCTGTGGATGCAGGGATGCTCAGAGCATGGGGCTTCCCTCCACATGTTCTGTGGAGTACCTGGGGACAGTGATAATGCGGTGTGCAACCATTCATTCTGGATGCAGGGGATGCTCAGAGCATGGGGCTTCCCTCCACATGTTCTGTGGAGTACCTGGGGACAGTGATAATGCGGTGTGCAACCATTCATTCTGGATGCAGGGGATGCTCAGAGCATGGGGCTTCCCTCCACATGTTCTGTGGAGTACCTGGGGACAGTGATAATGCGGTGTGCAACCATTCATTCATTCCTTTTTCCTGCAGCCCAGAGAGTGGTAAGAGCTGCAGAGACACAGTGGCCATGGATGCGCAGGTGCTGAGGAAGAAGCTAGGCCGGGCCTGGGCAGAGGCAGCCCGTGCCCTCCTGGGCAGCCTCTTGCTCTACGTCTTGGATCGCACTGAAGGGCCCCTGAGGGTGAAGGATGGGGAGCACAGGGCCAGCCGCCCAGCCCTGCCCCAGGAGGCCAGCCGGCGGCCCACACGCTTCCAGCTTCTGCAGGCCAAGTTCATGGGCAAGGGGCGGGAGCCCCCCCTGAAGAGGACTCAGGAAGTGGGCCGGCTGATCTCCAAGGACAGGCAGGGGCCCAGCCGGAGCTTCGTGAGCACTACCATCAGCAAGCTGTTGGAGAAGACCCAGGGGAGTGCCAGCAGCCCCAGCCAGAGGCCCACAGCCCGAGAGAAGCCCCGCTCAGGTGGCCCTGGTGGGAGGAGCACCGTGAAGACCATCCTGAAGAAGTTTCTGGCCGCAGAGGAGAAGGAAGCCAAGGAGAAGGACGTGCATATGCTGCCCCGAGGCCCAGGGCCTGGAGCCGCGAGGGGCCCTCTGTCAAGGGTAGGTGGCCGAGGCAACATCCTGTCCAAGCTGCGGGAGAGGTTTGAGCAGAGTGGCTGCCTCCATGCGGAGGCCAGAGTGCTGCCACTGCGCAAGGAGGACCGGAAGAGCCGGGCTCTGCAGAGGAGGACATACCGGCCAGAGGTCCGTGTGCTGCACATGGCCACCATGGCCACCAGCTGCACCAGGACACCCCCTGCCCGCTTTCTGGCCTGCGCGGCTGAGCCCCTGCCAGCCTTAAGCGTTGCTACCGTGGTGGGCAGTCCCCATGGCTGGCTGTCCCGCTGTGGCAAGATCAGTCACTCAGATGCCAGACGCCAGGCCAAGACAGAGGCCAGCCTGTCTCCTGGAGAGGGGCACACAGAGCCTGGTGGGAACAAAACTCCAGGAATGGGGCTCCTGAGCGAGGGTCCCAGGGAACAGAGGGAGCCCTCCCAGTCCTCCGTGCCCCAGGCCATGGCTCCTGGGGGCCCTCATGCAGCAGGCACCCCCCAGCCCGAATCCTCTTGTGCTTCCCTCCAAGACAGAGCTCTTCCTGGCCACCCGCCCACCGTGGCCCTACTGGGTCCTGCCGACCCGAGGGGCGCTAGGCCAGTTGCAAAGCAAAGGACAGTGGAACCCATAGCAGCAGGGGCTGCAGACCACACTCAGGGAGTGGAGGAAGGTGCGGGGCAGGGCCCTCAAATCTCCATGACTGTGTACAGCTCTGAGGACGAGGCAGAAAGTGTTCTTCCAGACTCTGAGAAAGAGCCCCTCTTTGCCACCCAGCAGTGCCTGCCCACGCTCCAGCAGGAAGCCAAGGCCTACATACCCCGAGCCCGTCCAGCTGTCTGGGCAGCACAGCGTACACAGCCTGGCATGGCATCTGCACAGATAACTGTGCGGCTTCCTGTCATCCTCAGAATGCCAGCTCCACCCACGCTCCAAACCAGTACACTGAGCCAGGCAACCTGGTGTCTTCATGTGTCACAGGGAGAGGCCGTGATGGACAAGATAACCGCAGACAGGACAGATGCTCCAGCCCTGGACAGGCTAAGCAAGCCAGGCCAGATGCCAGAGAGCCCCCTGTCCTCAGAGTCGGGGCTACAGGGAGCCCTGAAAGGGATTGGCAGCATGGACCCCAGGGCCTCACTGACGGTCCTGAGGCCAAAGCCCCCAAGTTCTCTTGCTGGAAAGGTAGGCCCCGGCAGCCATGCTGGGCCTTCAGGACCCACCTTTTCTGCATACAGTGGTGAGACTCGTGCATTGCTAGAATCAAACGAAACACAGACGCATTGTGAGGCCCCGTCTTCCCATCAGGCCCCAGCGTGGGAAAGCTATCCAGGAGGAGGCCCCCACCCTGCCCCTGCCCCTGCCCCTGTCCCTGCCCAGCTGGCTCCTCAGGAGAGAAGATCCTTGTTGGCAACTCCCCAGGATTACAGACAGCCTGAGAGTTGCCCCTGTGTGGACCAAAGCAACCACTGTGGGCAAGAAGAATGCCCCAGGAGCCCAACACAGGCGGCTCTGCCCCCGGGGATGGCCCCGGGGAATCCCAACCAGGACCTATGTAAGAACAAACAGTCCTGGCTAGGGGACCAGCCTGAGGCAGGTATCCCAACCTCAAGGGACACAGCTGCTGCAGGGAATATCTCAGATCCCACAGTGCCACTGGAAGGTGCCCAGAAAACACCCCTAGTGGCTGTCCAGACAGTAACACAGGCTGACACCCAGGCTCTGAAAAACAAAGCAGCAGAACTAGCCACTTTAGAGGAGAACAGAGAAGACAGAGCATGGACCACTCACCCCTGTGCCGCTGCAGTAAAAGGTCTCCCTGGGAAGCTGGTACCAAGTGGGCCCTCAATGCACAGGGTAGGGGCCACAGAATGGAGCATCCAGGGCTCAGCCCAATCCCATGCCCCCACATGGGTGCCCCCCACTGTGATTTCAGAGGATGCCACTAACCCCTGCCAGGCACTCACAGCGTCCAGACTGTGTACTCCAAATGACTCAGGAGCCAGCGTCCCTCGTGCATCCAAAGAGAACAAGGATGTCTGTGCCACAGAAGAGGACACTCTGTGTAACAGTGTGGCTTCCCAAACACCAACTGCCAGGCACTCCCAGAAGTCTCTGGGCTATGACCTGGACCAGCCATGGCGGCCCTCCACAGAGCCACATGCACGGGACTCACGGCCTTCTCCTGACACAGTGTACACCCCTGCATGCCCCACAGGTCTGGCCCCCACTAAAGAAGCCTGGTCTGCCCAGCTGGCCCTGGAGCTCCCTGCCCCTGACCAGCAGGCAAAGCACAGGACTGTACCCAAGACCAAGAGTGCAAGCCCGGCCTCAGCAGGCTTGGAGCCATCAGAGAGTCACTGTGGACCTGTGCACTCACAGCAGATAGGACAGTGGGACAGTTCTCAAACAATGTCAACGCCTGTGGGCCAGGAAGACAGAGGGTGCAAGCCAGAGCCTTGGGCAGCTTGGGACCTAGCAGGGAATGAGAAACCAACAACAAGGGAAAAGCCAGATACTGTCAGAGCCCAAGGGCAGGAGCATCTGCCAGGGCCCAGGGTCAGGCGGGTCAGCAACCCAACCCAGGGAGACAGCACACAGGCTGTAGGGAGCCCTGCTGCACAGAGCCAGGGCAGGGCCAGGGGGCCAGTGGCCCAGGCCAGGGGCCAGTGTGGCAACCAGGACAAGGAAGCCGCCACTGCCAGTGCCAGCAGGGACCCCTCTGCACCAGGCCCCAGCATGGGCAGCCTGGGCAGCCCAGGCACCAGGAGCCTATCCCAAGGAGATGGGGGTGCCACAGCCTGTCCCTCAGAGCCGATGGCCAGCCCCATCCCACCTGCACCTGATGTGAGGAGCCACCAGGTCCCCCAGGCCAAGGCCCAGGTGGGGGCCCCAGATACCCTGGGGACAGAGATGAACTGGCCAGGTTGTGAGCGGCACAGGAGGCTGGTGCACTTGGCCAAGTACAAAGCCCAGAGCTTCAGCGACCAGAGAGCCTTCGACCTGTCCTTCAGGCCCAGGGTCCTCAGGGCTAGCGACACCTTCGAGGCCCCCAAGTGAGAACCCAGCTGGGACCCCTGCCCCACCCCACCTCCTCACCCCCCACCCCTGCTCCCCAGCGCTCTCAGGTGGGGCAGAATTTCCTGCTCCATGTGCTCTCTGAAGAGCAGTGTGCTCACCGCCCTCTTGCTCTCTCCCCTCGCAGGGCCTGACCTTGGGCTGACCTTGGCTGACACTGGGAACTGAGTCCCTTTTGTGTTGTGTGGGTTCTTCCACCCTTGCATTCTGTGTGTGTGTGTGTGTGTGTGTGTGTGTGTGTGTGTGTGTATTTAGTACCAGGTCTCCAGGGCCTCGCTACACAAATTGGACTCGGAGTGATTCTCCTGTTTTCAGCCTCCCAAGCACTGGGATTACAGTTTTTGCTCTTAGGGTCAAAGATCACCATGCCTAGTGTCAATCGCTGCCTCAGTGAGCCCCAGCGGCAGGGCCAGCACAGCCTTGCTTTCTTTTAAGGATAAGCAAAGTGTCTAGCTAGGTCTGTCAGCGGGCTGCCCGCTGCCCTTTGCACTTCCAGGGCCTGTGTTTGACCTGGGTTGCCCCTCACAAGGCACAGCTCTGCACGTGGCCATCTCCCGCGTCCTTCTGTGCTCTGGGGCCTCCCTTCCCACTCCTGCCTATGCAGCACGCCTGAGCTACGGGGTTGCCCAGGAGTCAGAGGCTGCAGCAGGACACTGGGCCTTGGTCAGGACCTGCCGGCCCCTAACACAGACCACGGAGACACGCAGCAAGGCCCAGAAGTCACTGCAAACAGTGTCTACCCTAAGTCCAGCGCTGCTGCTCAGAAGCTGGCGGTTAGGAGTGTCCTTGCCGGCCGTGGCCGCAAGGTCCTGCCGGGCAAGGACAGCGTCGCTGGTGCTCCTGACCAGCTGCTGCCTGAGATGCGTGGGGATCCAGCTGTTTCTAGTTGTCTACAGTTTTTCCTTCTAGGTCAATAATCATCACATGGCTTCTTGATGGGCACCACGAACAAGGGGCTCACAGAAGAGCTGTGGATCCGCCTCTGAAGATCAGTTTCTGCTTTGTGAAGACTGCATGTGCAACTGAGCAACTTCTTTCTTCTTTCTTTCTCTTTTCTTTCTTCTTTTTTTTTTTTTCCAGTACTAGGGATGGAATCAGGATCTTTGTGTTGAGCTGCATTGCCAACCTTTAATTTATTTATTTATTTATTTTTTTTTCCAAAGTTTTATTGACAAACAGATAGCAATGAGACAGTTTCAAATCAAATCGGAAGGACAGTTTCAACAAATAATACACTGCATATATTCTTCTTAGTGGTTAATTACTGTACAAGATGCGGACTTGTGATCCTATTTACAAACACCATTAGAACAAATCATTCTATTCATTAAGAGAATG